AAAGATCACTTGTGGGGCCAGATTGGTTCCATCCAGTCCTCCCTTCCCCTGCTCCTGCTCCCATCCAGGTGTTTCTCCAGAGCAGGTGTGACACGGAGAGCAGTGTTCCCAACCTGGCCTGTGCAGAGGGGACTGGGGAGGTTTCCCATCCACAGGGGCTCCGTTCCCCTCCCGGCACATCTGGCGGGCAGATGTGGCCAAACGGCYGGGATCTGCCTCCCAGATGGGGGACGAGCTGCAAAATCTCTGGATGGGATTGGAAAGCAATGATTTTTTCCTTGGAAGTCTGTGTTTCCCGGCTCGTTGCACGCACTCCCCATCCCCGGGGTGCTGCAAAGGCCCTGTGCAGAGCTGGGGCTGCACCGTGGTGCTCCGGGGCTGGGGCATCCCATGGCCTGCACCTCCATCCCATATCTGCACCCTAAACCCCGCTCCTGCATTCCATGTCCCACATCCCCATCCCATCTCCTGTGTCCTGCATCCCTCCCTCTGCAGCCCAAATCCCTCCTCTGCAATCCATGCCCTGTACATCCTTCATCTGCCTCTTCAATTCCATTTCCCTCGTTACCTGTCCTATATCTCACCTCTGCATCCCTAAATTCTGCTCCTGTACCCCATGGTCTGTATCTGGATCCCATATGTGCATCTGCCCTTTTTGYCCCGTGTCCTGCACCCCACACTGCAGCCCCTCTGCTGTCCTGTATCCCTGTCATGTCTGGAAACCTGCACCTGCCTCCTAAACCCTCCCTCCTGCATCTGGGAACCTGTGTCTATATCCTAAATTCTCTGCTTCCTAAATTCCTATTTTTTTTTCCTTAAATCCTGTGTCTGCATCCTGAATYCTGCATCCCACATCCTAAATTCTTCCACAGTCCCTCTCCTGCACCCTACATCTGGCACCCCATGTCTGCATCCCAAATCCTGTGTCTCACATCTGCATCCTGAATCCTCCAGTGTTCAGCATCTACATCCTAAACCGCCCCCCTGCATCCGTCTCCTTAAATCTTACGTCCTCCACCTGCATCCTAAATCCTTCATCCTGTTTATAACCTAAATCCCACGTCCCCATTTACATTCCAAACACTCCATCCCCGATCTGTATCCTGCTTCTCCATTCTGTGTCCTGCATCCACATCCTACATCCTCCACCTTCATCCTAAATCCTCTATCCCAAACCCTGCATTTACATCCCCAGTCCTTTGTCCCACATCTGCATTCTAAGTTCTCCATCCTGTGCTCTGTATCTGCATTGTGAATCCTCCATCCACCATCCTAAATCCTATATCCCATATCTCCATGTTAAATCCTGCATCCTAAATCCTATATATTCATCCCAAATCCTGTGTCCCACATCTGCATCCCAAAGTCTCTGTCCTGCATCCTGCACCTGCATACTAAATCCTATGACCCCATCTAAATCCTAAATCCTCCACCCCCCGTACTGCATATAAGTTCTAAATCCTGTGTTCTATATTTGCATCCTAAATCCTCCATCCTTTATGTACATCTGAAATCCTAAATCTCCAGGTAGCTCCTAAATCCTCTATCCYATCCTAAATCTTCTATCCCACAGTTGCATCCTGGATCCTCCATCCTTGTATCCCTTCATTCTAAATCCTACACCCCCATCTGCACCCTAAATGCTCCATCCTGCATCTACATCCTATGTCCCATATCTGCACCCCAAGTTCTGTCCCAGATCCT